TAACTCGCAAGGGCGGATCCAGCTTTGGCGCCAGGGGGGGGACATATAGCCAGCTTAGGCGCCAGGGGAGGGTCATATAGCCAGCTTTGGCGCCAGGGGGGGGTCATATAGCCAGCTTTGGCGCCAGGGGGGGGGGTTATATAGCCAGCTTTGGCGCCAGGGGGGGTCATATAGCCAGCTTTGGCGCCAGGGGGGGGTCATATAGTCGTGGTATATTAAATATTGAAAGTACTTAAATAAAATCCCCCTGGGTTTGGTCCATCTGTACCCAGCCCAGGGGGGGTCATGACCCCCATGACCCCGCACTCGTGAGCAGGCGCAGCAACGCACACAGTGAACTTTGGTCCGCGTTGCACGCTCATCATCATCATCAGCCCATTAATGTCCCTACTGCCGGGGCACAGGACATCCTTATTTATGGAATAGTGTTTTCGACAGGTATCTAATCAAGTTTTGTAAAAGACAATGTTAAAATTGGCCTAAAAACCAACACCAATTTGGCATTTACGATAATTCTTATTATATTTTTTGCGATAATTATCAGTATTTAGTTTGTGACGGACACTTCCAGTTAAGTAAGCTAAATTAAAAAGTTAATAAATAATCTGAGACAATAAATACCATTTTATGTGTATAATCTATGACAGCGCTGCAAATAAAAATCACTTTCTTCCTAATGCCGGCACTTCACTTGGCTATTCGTATTTGCTATTTAAAAACATGACATCAGTCTGTACTTTTTATTCCTTATTAAGCATGACAAGGACAAACTGTTGTCAAGTGAAAGGCCGGCATAAACTCGATACTCTGTGGTTGTGGTGCAGGCATTTTGCATTCGTAGTAATCTGTGGCATTCGTGCATTCTTGTCAAAGAGTACTTTTTATAAATATAAACGCCGTCCGACCGACTCAAACAAAGCTCACTATGCCAGAGCCCGTAACCACTGCAATTTGGTGTGTAGGGATGCCTTACGTCGCCATATCCATGTCTCAGTCGATAATAAAGATCCAGCAAAAGTCTGGAATTTTCTCAAGTCACTTGGAATTGGTAAGCCTCGAAAAGAATCCGTTCCCAGTAGCTTTGACGTCAACTCCTTAAACCTTCATTTCTCATCTTCTTCTGGTCTTAGTGATTCAGATAAAACTAATACTTTAAATTATCTTTCTTCCTTACCAGTTCCAGTCTACTCTCCTTTTGTTTTTGCTCAATTCTCTGAATGTGACGTTAAGAAGAGCGTGCTTTCTATCTCATCCAATGCAGTGGGGAGTGACAGCATAAGTCGCAATATGTTAATACCAATCTTAGATATCATTCTCCCCGTTCTAACATTCCTTTTTAATAGCTCTATTTCTAATACTGTTTTTCCTTTAGCTTGGAAGCAAGCACAAATTATTCCTTTGCCAAAGAAATGTAGCCCGCAATCCGTCGCTGATTTCCGCCCCATCTCCATTCTTCCCTTCCTATCAAAGGTACTTGAGCGCCTTGTTCTTAATCAGTTCAATATTTTCCTTTCTCGCCACGATCTCTTTAACCCTCTCCAATCCGGTTTCCGTCCGGGACACAGCACTACAACTACTTTACTTAAAGTCACAGATGACATACGTCTTGGGATGGACCGCGGTTTCCTTACGGTATTAACATTGTTGGACTTTAGCAATGCATTTAACACTGTCAACTTTGATATTCTTTTGGGATTGCTACGCTCACTTAACGTATCTCCATCGGCGATTGAGTGGTTTCACAGTTATTTGTATGGACGCAGGCAGCGTGTCCGCCTTGAGGACTCGTTTTCTTCATGGTGTGACACGTCTGCTGGCGTTCCTCAAGGCGGCGTCATATCTCCTCGTCTCTTCGCTGTATTGATTAATTCAATCTCTAATAATATTACTTCTTCCTACCACCTATACGCAGATGACCTTCAAATTTATCAACAAGCGCCCATTGATCAACTTGGTGATGCAGTGCTAGCCACAAACAGTGATTTGGATAAAATATTGGAGTGGAGTAAATCTTTTGGGCTGGAGGTAAATCCGGCTAAATCAAACAGTATCATTGTTGGAAGCTCGAGGATGATCGCCAAAGTTGACTGGCAATCACTCCCCAAAATTCATCTCGCTGGCACCATCATTCCATTCAGCATCTCAGTAAAAAACTTAGGGTTAACCATTGACAATTGTATGAGTTGGTGTCCCCAGATGCAAGTGCTCAGCCGTAAACTGTTTGCTTCTGCAGCTTCGCTGAGGAGACTACGCAATTTTCTACCCACTACCACCAAAATTTCCCTAGCACAGACTCTGTTGCTTCCTATTCTCGATTATGCTGACGTCTGCTATCTAGATCTCACGGAGGACCAGCTTGATAAACTTGAGCGGCTTCAGAACTTCTGTATTCGATTCATATTTGGCCTGCGCAAATATGATCATGTATCTCAATTTCGTTTACAGCTCAAGTGGCTACCTATTCGCCTTCGCCGGAATACGCACATCCTTACTCTTCTGTATAACATACTGTTCAATCCTTTGTCCCCACGCTATCTTAAGGAATGTTTTAATTTCCTTCACACTTCGAATACATTGTCCCTTAGGTCATCAGAAAATCTCGCTCTCATTACTCCTGTTCACTCTACAACTTTTTATGGCCGTTCTTTCGCAGTACAAGCCGTTCGTCTATGGAATGCTCTTCCAGTTTCCATAAGACGTGCAAAATCACTCCACATTTTCAAAAACCTTGTTAGATCTCACTATATGTCCTTGTAACCCTTCCATTTTTGTTGATCTAAGCTGAATGAATTAGACATAGGTATGTATGTATTTGTGTATATATTTATATATATGTATGTATATATATTTATGTATATGACTATGTATGTATTCTTGTAGGTATATAATTATATGTATGTATTGTTTTATATACTTATTTTGATTATATTTGTTAGAATGATTTTATATTATTTTGTAGTAATTACACCGCCGTCTCTCCAGCTTCTTTCCTGTCCTCTCCATCCTAAGGTTGTCTGGAAGAGATCGCTCTTAGCGATAAGACCGCCCATTATTACACTGTATTCTTTAATTATGTACTTCATGTTTTATGTTTTCTGTGGTGTAAAAATAAAGAGTTTTGTATTGTATTGTATTGTATTGTATAATAGAAAATATTTGTGATATTCAAATGCATGGTCGGTTATACGTCGCCATATAGCCGTCTCTTTTCCTCGTGGTACGTACCTGCTAAATTGCTAACAGCGCATTCAGAATTGCGCGTAGAGTCAAAGAAATAAGGTCTATATTCTTCATATAGCGATAAGTCCTAAAATTGGTGATGTTTAAAGGCGATTTTCAATGTTTAAATAATGCCTTATATTGTTTAGACTATGCGATCATCTTACGGAGCTCCGTAGATCGTCCAATGTACCTTTTGGACAGCCTATTAATGTCCCCACTGCTGGGGCACAGGCCTTTCTTATGGATGGAATAGGGAGATTGGGCCATGCCATGACCCATCACGCGGACCCAGTGCGGATTAGCGAGTGCTAACGACTGCAGATGCAGCCGGGACCAACGGCTTAACGTGCCTTCCGAAGCACGGAGGAACTCGAGATAGAAGTTTTTGGTCACCCATCCAATGACCGACCACTGCGAAAGTTGCTTAACTTCAACGATCGCAGCCGAACGCGCTAACCACCTGCGCCATCGAGCTCCTCATACTACTTCTATATAATATAGTATCCTACTATATCAGAGGATCAAATATCATATTTCTAAAAAAATATATAGTAGACGGAACTATTATATTTTGCTTAAATCAGACTTTTGCCAGTAAAGGCTTTCATAAAAATAATTATTACGGCTTAGAGCAGAAAATGTATATTTATTTCAAAAATAAAGTAATAATTTTAGCCACATATGTACTATATTTTTAGAGGTAACAGCTTCGCAAATACTATATTTGATGGAAAAAAAATTGTGTGTGTCAGCTCCGACGCACGACCGGAGTTTACACTCTAAAAACGATTGTCTTTGAACAGACACAAAACAAAATCAGGTCCGAAGAAGTCGGTTACAAGTAGAGATACCTCAGGAATCGTCCCATGGTTTCGACTATCATAGGTTCCATGTCACACATTTTATCATCTAACATCAGCGATATTCATCATATATTTTATTATGTATTTCTGGAAACCCACAATTTCAAAAATATCACACACTATTTTAGTCATCATTTTGTAAATATATATTATAATTCCATCTGTACTGAAAATCACTATTCGAGAGTGCTGGACACTTACCGGCATTTCTCTATATTCTGTTATTTATTTGTTTTCATTAATTTTGCTCCGATTTTATCTACTTTTAGTTTATTTATTTTATTGACATTTGTGACAACGTAATGTTTTTTATCCGTTGCCATGGCTAAAAGTAAAAGGTGCGCAGATGAGGTTGCGCACAAAAACGTAACGAGGTCATTAATGTCATTCATCGATAGATTTTACTCCTCACATTTTTCTCATACCGGGCCCCTTATATATGCAAATCGATTCTTAAGGAGTAAACTCCAAAAAAGTGGGTTACCCTTACCTTTAGCCTCAATAGAAATAGACAACACGTTACTTTTCCCAAATTCAATGGACATCTCTGATAGTGGCAATATTGCATTCCGTCGAGCTGGGTAATGCAGGAAAAACATTAATTTATTATTAAGTTAGATAAGGTTAAGTGTTACAAGGAAAGTTTTGCATCGTATTAAAGCTAACTAGTGGTAACAACTCATTATTATTAAGAATTAAAACATATTGAACAATGTAACATACGTTTTCACGCAGACCACGCATTAAATTAAACAAGTTTTGAACGGCTCCAAATGTGTTTTAAATATTTTTTTACAGTACTCTTGTCTATTAGACATGCCAAACTTTTTGGATAAATGTTTTTGTGAACACCAATAACATTAAATAGTTTTTATTACCATGTCCTGCGTGTATTGGATGTTTTTTCTAACTTGCATGTGGAGCAATGAACTAATTGTAATTGGGTGTTTGTCGAGCAATAGTGGTGAGTATTATTTACACTTCATTCTTAAAACTATCATAATAAGAGTGTTTATTATATGATTTACATAGAAAATTTATAGCTTGCAATAAGGGTTACTAAGAAATTGAAAAGTCCTGACAAAAAGCCAGACGTTTCGATAAAAGTCCGGACATTTTAGCCACCAAATGCAAACATCATCCACTTAGCTCTTGGCCTGTTGGTTTTTTTTCTAGTATAACTTTTCTTTGGATTTAAACATATAGCAGTTAATGCTTAAAAAAACACAAGTGTTGAGGAGTTATTCTCCCTTATCCCTCCATCACCTTTTCTTCAGAGGACCACGCGCGCTGGCCTACGTTGCCACCGACTTACTGTGGCCACTATTTCTACACGAACAAAGAAATTTGGTGACTCATTTCTTTGTCGTACTATTCGTAAGTGGAATTCTTTACCCGCGCAAGTGTTCCCTCCTTCCTATAACCTGGGGTCCTTTAAGAGAGGCGTGAAGAAGCATTTTTGCAGGCCGGCAAGGTGAGGATGATTGGTGTAGCAGTTTATAACTGCTGTACCAACTATCTTCGCGTTTGGACTTTATTACCACTTAACATCAGGTGGGGTAGAGTCATTTGCCTACCTTAATATATATAAAAAAAAAGTGATAAATGTTAAGAATTCACATTACCACTTTTATGCTTTGCCGAGGAATGCGATAGAAATATTTATTTAGACAATAATGACGAAGGACTTTTGTTTGCGGAAAACAGAAGTCCCTGAATCGTGAAGAAAATGTCCGCCGAGAAAATGACAAGGACTCAACGGACACAGTGTGCGCGAACATTATTTGTCAAACACGCGAAATTTTTGAAAAGCGTTCTCTATGGATGTAAATTAGAAATTGAAAGAAAAACAATCAAATGTTATAATAGTACGTATAATCGAAAACAATAAAATGACATGTAATTTCACAAATTGCTATATTATTAAGCTACTTTTGAAATGTATAATTTTAATGTAATCAACTGCAAAAGTAAACGTGCGTAAAACGTAAAATAAATAATGAAAAGAAAACAGCTGACACTTCTGACAATAAAAAAGTGTTCATTAATATTACATTTATAATCCACATTTTCATTAAAAAGATAGAAATCTTAAACAATTTAAAAGTATGGTAGTGATTTTGTAACAAAATAAACTTACCTTTCGTGTATTTCAATAATTAAAAAAAATTATACCCGCTTATGTTACCTTGAACCTAACACATGGATAACGGTGACCATTGGCATGCTTCACTCAAGATTAGACGAGGTTACGTCCGTCATTTTTTCAGGTCCGTGGTTTCAAATAGCTATACATAGCACAGACAGAATATAAGTGTTACAATCAGTGGCGGCGCGGGCGCTAGACCACATGACATAACTTCGCGAGGCCTATTTTACTTCGCAGTAATAAACCGTTAAATTAAGTGAGCCAAATTATAAAATAAGTATGAGTAAACGAGTTTTATTGTTGTTAGTCAAATGATGACAAAAAATAATTACGAACATAGAAATTTAATAACAAAAATGGTGTTGCCAGACAGACGATTCTGAATACCCGTAAAGTACTACTCGCTTCCATCACGCACGTGTTCGAAATTAATAAAAGTCATTATCATCTGCTTAGCTTTTTCCCCGAATTGTTCGGGGTCGGCTACCTAAGCCAGGCCAGGAGAAACGAAAATAAATAGGTAACTTGTAAAAATTTTTTGCGAGGCCCCCTCAGGCGCGAGGCCGTCGGCGGTGGCCGACGTCGCCGTCGTCGCCTAGCGCCGCTACTGGTTACAATTGAATAAATCGAATACGTGTAAGCGAAAAGCACAATAAACAATCAATTACAGTTCTTAATAATGTGGTCGCTAAATAAATAACTATGAGACAAAACAAAACGCAAAATAAACAGTCACAAATTGGAAAGAATTTGCAGAAAATGTCAGTTACTTACTGTCCTAATTCGATGGCGCCATCTCTTCGTCTCAGGACACACTAGATTGCTTGTTCTTCCAATTATATCAACGCAATGGAATGTTTTAGAAGGTTTGCTATGATTCAACAAGATGGCGTTGCCTTTAATATGAGGCGCTTATCGATACTTGCCAAAAAGTACTCATTATTAAAAGTATCGAATACAAAGTATCGGTATCGAAAGGAAAAGTACTCGATACCACAAAGTATCGATACTTTTTCGTGTCCCTACACCTCCCACGCGTTCTCCGCCGAGCATTCAACTATTTGACCGAGTCATCCCCTGGGAGGACCGGGTCAAGTACTTGGGAGTCACGTTAGATAACCGAATGACGTTTGCACCTCATCTCAAGATAGTTCGTGATCGCGCAGCATTCATTCGCGGCAGGCATAGGCACTTAGGCATAAGTTGACAATTTGCTAAACTTACATCTGCCCGCCCTATCATGACCTACGCGAGTGTTTGCTTCGCTCACGTACCTCCGTCGCGTCTTAAACCACTACAAACGCTGCAAAATCGTGTGTTGCGCGGTGCCACGGGTTGCCCGTGGTACGTGCGCAACGTCGATTTGCATCGCGATCTCAAATTAAACTCCATCGCGAAGTATATGAAGGACGCCTCGAGACGTTACTTCGATAAAGCCGCGCAACATTCGAACCCCATAGTAGTCAAAGCCTCTAGCTATCATACGTCCGTCCTCCCGTCCTCCAATCGTAGCCTAGGCACATCTTAGAGTACCCCGACGACGAAATTACCCACGCCAACGCGCCTCCGACTCCTCCCACACAGGCTACAAGCACCAACACTACACAGCCAGCATACTTGCACACTAGCTTAGCATTAGGCAGACACCGCACCCGTAGGAAAAGAGTGCGAAGACGCGGTCTACAAACGACACACTATACCAGGTACAGGTACGTACTTGGGCGTTTTTCCCCGCCTCCCACGACAACGGCTAACTAGAGCCGAGGTTCGAGTCTCAGAGACGCCCTCTAGTTGAGCCGACCCCGTCAGGTTCGAGTGGTGTACAAAAGGTCGGAAAGCGAGTCATACCTACGCTACTCGAGTTCGATGTGCTCTCGGCGGGCACCCAGTCGCGAATGCGCCGCCGCGCCGCAATGACGACCGAACGGTCTGAATTGTTTTTTATGCAGTTAGCCGTGCTTAAACGTGCGTTTTGTATTGTAAATATTTGATTTAATTAAGTAGATACCTACATAATTTAGTATGGAAAAGAACAAACGACGATCAATACCGTACAACAGCACAATTGCTGTTTTTGGTTGCTTGAACTCTTCAATAACACAGAGATATCATTTTTTAAATTACCTGAAATATTGGAAAGGTGTCTTTATAGAATATTTTTTATATACTTATCTACTAGTACGTTATTTGTTTCTAATATTTAGGTATTTCGGTTTTTCCATCGGGCAAAATATCTGGAATAATATATAAATAAAGGTTAGGATGAAAAAAGAGACACACCATGACCCGAGTTTAACATTTTTTACCCATACAATAAAAAGTGTACAACGCCGCTAAAGAAGTTTTCACTACAAAAAATCTAAACCCGAAATCTGTACTTGCTGTATAAATTCTGTGTGGGTGACGCAAATCAGCTCTTGCTACCAGGGCTTGTAACCGGTTTCGAAAATACCGGTAAATAAAGGTTAATACCGGTTTTTAGTAAAGGTTTCGTCCGGAGCGCGTCCGAAATGAAAGCGGTACCTAAAACCTTAATAAACAGGTTTAATCCCGAGGCATCGCTTAAAGTTTGTTTTATTTGAACTAATCAAGACACAACTTGGTAATGCTCAGAGATTGATGCATTTATTGACACGTTTGCTATCGTCTAATGAGTCAAGTTATTCATTTTGTAGTTGTGTACTGATACACTACTTCACTCACTCGCTCTGTAGTTGGAAAGAAACTGACTTAAAATCATTATAAATTAGAATTGAAACGGCGAAGGCGATGCCGCCGATGCAGTAAGAGCGAAATGAAACCCTTTAAAACCGCTAAATTGATTCAAAACTTATTCGATTTCGTTTTTTAGGAAAACCGGTTTTTATAAGGTTAAGGTAGAGCCAAACCTAAATAAAACGCTCCTAATGTACTTGATACTGATTTAGGTTTGAAAATTAACCGGTAAACAAGCCCTACTTGCTACTACTAACTGTGACTTCATTTGTGCTTATTTTACAGGTACTAATAATACTATTTATTACAACATCCACGATAAGATATTAATACATTTTGTCCTGAAAGAGACACCAGAATATACTGAAAGATACAAGGTTCAAAAGCAATGTATGTATATTTCTAAGTAGTACACTCCTACTAGTACATACATTCAAAGATGTTCGAATAATTGTAACTTTTTTGAAATAATGTACGTTTTGACAGCTCTGTAATTTATTCACCACCTCCGTGGCCGAATAGCATGTACGCCAAAATAGGTTCCAAGATGAGCGCCTACTCGGAGGTCTTGGGTTCGAGTCCCGGCCGGGGAATAGTTAGTTTTTTTTATATAATGCGAAGAGATGGCGCTGCCTTGCAGCTAAAGAATGGCTAGAGGAATTTCGACGCGGTCCGTGAGGGCCGCGATAGCATAATTGTTTAGTGCATTCGCCCAGAAGGGTGCGGGTTCGAGTCCCGTCTGCTGCCTGGTCCGCGTGGAATTTTTCTAGTTATATTTTCTTTAGATTTAAACAGTTAGTATGATGAATACGAGCATTTGTACTTTATGGATGTTAATATATATTTCTAGATAAGATATACATATATATATTCTATCCGTTACCCTAGTATCCCATAACACAAGCCTTACAATGCTTACTTTGGAGCTAGGCTAATTGGTCAGTATGGGAAATATTTATTTAATTTAATATTTATTCAAGATTCCCTTAAAGAATCCCTTATGGGACTGTCCGTCTGTTTGTCAAGGTCAACGTTATTAGGTCAAGACAGTTATCTCAGGAATGCGTGGAGGTACCAATTTGAATTTAAACCTTATATAATTACTCAAGTCTATGGTTTCTTGAAGCTGCGAAAAAAAAAGTTAGCGCAAAAAAGATAGGGCCATTTATGTTGCTTTCCTACAAAAGGAGACCCGGCACTTATCATAGAAAAAATGCTAAACTTGTATACAGTTGAATTTGGTCTCAAAATAAAGCCAAAATTATTTGCTACATAAAACTACTTTTGCCTTATTTTTAGTGAATCGTGGAAAGTGGTTATTTAATGATTAATATTTTTTGATATAGAAACCCTTTTGATGACAAACCTACGTATTTGACATTGACAGCTAGCTGCTGATTGGCTGCTGATGACAAATATTGCCAGACTACGTTACCCAATTATGAAACACAGATAAAAAAATTAAAAAAGTATACAACTTTGGCACAAAATGCCGGGTGTCCTTTGTACCTCTCGGCACAATACATACAAGAGCAGTACCGTAACTCAGCCATTTTATTGAAATAGATAGATACCTACGACTGAGCAGAGCGCTAGGGTTGGTCCCTACAAAATGTAAAATAGATTAATGTCAATTTTCATTCTAGGGGCCGTTCAAGTATTACGTAAGCACTATAGGGGGGCAGGGGGGTCTTCGTTTTGCTTATTTTTGATGACATGGGGGGCTGGGGGGGTCGAGATAGTGATTACGTCAGCATCATGGATTCGGATGCCATGAAGTGAAGACTGTTAATTGGAATTAATATGAATCGAAAAAAAAACGAAAGAAGTTTATTTTGTTCGTAATAGCACTTAATAAGGTTATAATATTTGTACCTTACTCTAAGTTGAATACTGCGTCAATAAAGTTAGTTTAAATGAATAATAAGTGCGTTAAAGTAGTCTATCCTAAGCCTATTTAAGTACTGCGGCTCATGAAGCTCATGAAAGCTCATGACTCAAAAAAATAGAATACTTTAAAGGAAAAATGCATATAGGTACCAATGTTTACGTAAGCACGTGAGGGGGGGAGTAAGAGCTTTGCTTACTTTTGCTGACAAGCGGGGGGGGGGGGGGAGGAGGGGGTAAATAATTGTAATAAATCTGCTTACGTAATACTTGAATGGCCCCCTATGTATTGTTACTATTGCCACGTTACGGAATCGAAACGGAGGCAGACGGCGCGGGCGGCGAGGCGCAGCTAACCAACCTCGGCCATCGACCAGACTCGGCGGCGGTGCGCGACGTGGCACTGCGTAGATATGTCTTGCCAAGATTGGTTAGCGGCCGTGTAAAGGACGATTGTCTGTGTGCGTGCGTTGATTCGGGCGCTAGTCTGAAGTCAAAGTACTGCTCTTTTATGTAGTGTGTCCTCGGTGACGGAGTCCAACTCACACTTGTCCGGTTTTTTAACATGGCACTTTCTTTTTGACGACCTCCGTGGCCGAGTGGTTTGTACGTCGGGTTTCATGGCGTCGCCGACTCGAGAGGTCCCGGGTTCGAATCCCGGTGGGGGCAGATGTTTATGTGATGAACACGAGCATTTGTACTCCAGTCGTGGATGTTTAATATGTATTTCTATATAAATATACTTATATATGTAAAGTATATGTATTCTATCCGTTACCCTAGTATCCCATAACACAAGCCTTATAGTACTTACATTGGGGCTAGGCTAATTGGTGTGAGTGTTGGAAATATTTATTTTATTTATTATTTTTCAGGTGAAACAAAGAACCACATCTCATTGAAAGACGGTAGCATACATAGCTCGAAACGTTTCACAATTAAAAACGAATTACTCAATTATGATAATAATACACGTTTATGTATTGCATTTCTCAATAAAAAAAACGAGGAAATATGTGTTTGTCAACTACCGTTTCACTTAAGGTTGAGTGAGCCTAAAGATCTTTCATATAACTTCAGAATAAGAGGTAGGCACCTATTATATTTGTTTTTTAAACACAATCCAGTGTTGCCAGACATCCCGACTTTAGCGTGACGTCCCGATTTTTAAATCAAAATGAAATATCCCGCACGGGACATTTTCGGGAATAGAAGAACAGCGCGGGCGGGGGTACAGACAAATCTGCCGTCCTCAAGCTAAAACGCGGCTAAATGACAAAACCAACTTTGAGATACGTCCAAAAAAGGGCGCGTAAACTTTAAATTATAGCTATTTTGTAACCATTCATCACATGACGGATTTTTAGACTTAAGCTTTGAAAGATACGAATCATCGTCATCAGTCTATTAATGTCCCCACTGCTGGGGCACAGGCCTTCCCTATGGATGGAATAGGGAGATTGGGCCATGACCCACCACGCGGGCCCAATGCGGATTGGTGGGTGCTAACGACTGCATGTGCAGCCGGGACCAACGGCTTAACGTGCCTTCCGAAGCACGGAGGAGCTCGAGATAGTAATTTTTGGTCACCCATCCAATGACCGACCACTGCGAAAGTTGCTTAAGTTCAACGATCGCAGCCGGACGCGCTCACCACTTGCGCCATCGAGCTCCTCATACTTGTTGTTAAAGACAGATCGACAGAGAATACGAAAGATACGAATACTTGTTGTTAAAGACAGATCGACAGAGAATTAAAAACTGTATAAGTGCAATTTAGGACTGAAAAATCGACTACAAGTCACTTAGCCGCACTTTAGTTGGAGGACGGCAGAAATGTGGACTGGCCGCCTGCCCGGCGCGTAATGAAGAACTCTCAAACAAAGCCTCTATTTAACGATAGGGACCTAAATCTGATTGAAAATATCATAGTTTTATTAAAAAAACTTTTTCTATTGATATTTTTAATAGGTACCTTTCTATTGTCACGTTAACGTAATTTGAATTTAAATAAAAAGATAAATATTCAAAAACTTTTGGTTATATATGTTTTTTTACTATGTCCCGCTTTCGACGAAAGGATCCCACTTTTTTCATTCAAAAAGTTCCTAAATCCCGACTTGGCAAAAAAAAACTGGCAACACTGACACAATCTCACATGTGGTTAGGGTTACCAACTTTGTTTCTATCAAATATAGTATTTTAAAAGCTGATTCCTCCTAAAATATAGTGAAGCAATGGCAAAAAATAAAAAAATAAATAGTATGTGTTTAAAATAATTAACTATAATATTGAAATAAATATTATATTTTTGCTGCTCTTTATCTTATTTTTTTTTTATTTTAAAGAAGACTTTTACTGGCAACAGTCAGCTTTAAGCAAAATATTGCCTACCACATATTTTTTTAAGAAATATATTATTTGACTCCCTAATATAGTAGGATATTATATAATATAGTAGGGTTGGCAACCCTACATGCGGTGGACCACTTTAACAATCAATTTTGGCTACACTCACACAAAACTTGATATTTGGTATATCGTATTCATAAAAAAACTAATAACTGAATTTTAATATATTTATAATTAATATTAAATATAATAACTTAATAAGATAAATATTATTGAACTTTTTTTTAGATTTATTTAAATGGTTTCTATCTTACTTGGAAATGTGGACAAATAAAAGTCGAATAAAAAGCGTACTTGTCCATAATACATTATTAAAAGGAGTCCCTTTAGGCAAGGTTCCAAAGATACTGGCAGCGTTCCCCCTTTAAATAGCTAGACTAATTCTTTGTCCGAGGTAGCTGCCAGCTCTTCGGTCTCCTGTGATGTCGACCAACCTTTTTGCTATTTCCTTAAAAAGCCTTATAGCTCTAGGACCCCACGGACCAAGGGTCTTGACACCGAATGTGGCAAAATCATATTCGGAGCCTAGACCCCTGTATTTGCATGCCTTAGTTTTTTCAGCCGCTTCGCAAGCCGTACCAGCTCTGTTGTTGGTTCCATGTAGAAGGGAAGGGCCTAGCGTGTCTGAACAGGTTGCATCTCATACTAGCATCCGGCCCATCTTCCATGGAATCAAACTCATACCGTCCGGTTTCTTGCCATCGTTTCTTGCAATACCAGTCGGCTCAAGTAGACTTGGCACGTTGACGGTGGCAAGGGACCGGCATATGATATCGTTAAGTGCGGCATGTCTCGAGAAGCGGCCAGCACTTTTTTGGCATGACAGTCCGTGATGCTTGTCGACATCACCGCCACAGGGACATTTATGAGGAGCGCAGACCGGGACCCCAAGCCGTAGAATTAAGAATTAGTCTAACTATTCGTTGATTGAACTAATTGTTTTGTTTTTTTGTCTAAAGGAGCGAATCAGAAATGCCTGACTAGAGAGGGTTGTGATCATGATATTAAAGTACAGTGCAAAAATAATGGTGGTACGTACAGACGTTAATTTCATTAAACATTATTAATTATAAAACAATGATGTTAGACTTATAAATACGTAATACACGCTTCTAAAATGGCAACACGAAAATCAGGTAATTGCCTCTTTCTCGTCGCTTCTACACTTCGCTACAACGTGTAAATAATTAACGTTTTTGCCAGACAAAAAGCCCTAAGTGTGTTTTAGGTAGTACACAAATTACATGGGAACTATTAGAGACAATGAAGACGTGTCATAGCATTGGTAAGTACAGTCACAATACATACAAGAGCAGTACTCCGACTTCATACTAGCGCCCAAATCGACGCACGCACACAGACAGACGTCATTTACACGGCCGCTAACCAATCTCGCCAAGACAAATCTACGCAGTGCCACGTCGCGTGCCGCCGAGATTGATCGTAGGCCGAGTTATAATGCGATTCAAATAAGAATATGAAAGCCAGTGACCTCTATCTGTCAAATATCGCTTGAAAAGTACGGTTTGCAAAAAAGAGATCTTGGAACCCTTTTTAGCACTCCGCTAATTCAAGAATAAAAACCATACAATAACAAATATTGATAATAATATCGGTTGATATTTTTTTTCCCTTATTGAGTTTTGGCCATGAATGATTGATAACCTGAATCGTCAAACAAATGTCACTTTAAGTTGCGCTCAGAAACTCGATTTCAAACTTTCGTTTACATAAAGGATGCATGTTCGTATGTAACCTAGTAATAGTGCATGATTATTCATAACTACTCCGGCGGTAATGCAGAGATGAGCGAAATAGATGAGCTAGATTTTGATTAATGTTTTTTCTCACAGTCTTAATAAATAAATATTATTAAAAAACGGTGTTTTTTTTCTCAATCTTAGTAAATAAATGTTTTTAGAAAAATCTGATGCTTTTTCTCACTTAATTTTAGTAAATAAGTTTTTACGGGTTAATGCACGAAACTTTATTTATTTATTGACGTTTCGCAGCCTTTTCAGGTCTGCATCGTCAGAATAATGATTTTTTATTTAAAATTGTCGAGCTACCTTCGAAAGACTTACATTGAGCGTTCGGTTATTTCATTGGAAGATTTTTAAAATTTTTGTTGTCTATGTATGAATTTATTATTTAATTTACTTAATAAAGTATTTTATTTAAAATTCTTGTTTGTAATTTTGAGTTTATTTATTTGACCCTAACTACCGTAAACTACCACCGGTTCCAAAAGAGATTAAAAAATATTAAAAAATTTCAATAATAAATCCGTAATAAGATAGAAAAAAAATTTGTATAAATTATATTCCATAGGATAGTAATCAAAACTAATCAATTCATTTAATAACAATAATATTATGTACTAGCTTTTGCCCGCGACTTCGTCCGCGTTATCGTCGTTTTTCGTAAAAAAGTAGCATATGTCCTTCCTCAGGGTTCCGTGGTTTTGATGTGACAGACAGATTAACTTTCGTATTTTAGTAGGGAAATATAATACTGTTAAAAATATCGCAATAAGGAACCGCAGAATATTATTATTATCACTGTGCCCCGAGACCATCAGCGTGTAACTCCTTGTATGTTATTATGTTAATGTAGTGGTAATATTGTTTAGATCGCTTTCACATGAGTCTTAAGTACATATAGAATGAAAATACTTCAGCGCAAAGCTTCCGGGTAGACTACGTTGAAATTTGACCCGTCCGGAACGTGAACATAAAAAATTCTAGGACTGCTAACCCGGGAAAGACCGACATAACTGACCATGTGAAAAACAACTGACACCGAGATCTACTCCAACAACACGAAAGGTCTGCCCTTGAGCCTTATTTATTGTCATTGCATAACACACCGCTGCTGGGAATTGCGTTCTTTTAAATTGGAATGGAAAATTATTTGGTATTATGGGAATTCTGGGAATAAAGATGGTTTCTCCTGCACCGCAACCTATTAAAATTTGAGCCTCGATTACATTTTGTTGCAACTGGGTTACTTTAAGCCGAGTTCCATTGCAAATTTGTGGTGGTCTTAAATTTCGGAGCAGAATAATCGGAATGCCAATTTTTAAACAAATTTCATGAGAAGGAAGTACGGGCATATTTAAAGAATTTAAAAATTCTATCGGGTAATTAGTGGCTTCTTGTTCATCGGCCATTCTATTTATTGAACTATAAACTTTGCTTTCCCCGTGGATATTCGACAGTATTTTATTATTAATCTCAGATGCCTGGTCATTGCGAGGAGTTAAAATGGACCTTTCGCTTAGCCAAGAATTGTTCTTATTTAATATATTTGTTACGTCACCGTAAACTGACGATGTAAGATGTTGTTGGGATTGCACTATACAACATAACTCAGGCGTCAGAATAAGTTTTCCTTGGTGTAGCAGTGGATAGGTATCTTTGGTGAAGGTATTTTCTTTAATAATATATCAGAAAATTCACGATCATCCGGGTTATCTACAGTTCTCACTCGCATGTTTATAGTCAAATGCACCGATTGTATATCACGCCACAAATAAGAGCTTTTCAGGCAAGCCCTAACCTCAGCAGCTCGGGTTCCCCGTGGTATTGCCGTTAAGGTTTGTCGGAAATCACCACAAAATAAAACTGTGATACCGCCCATGGGTCGATCATTTTGTCTTATATCTCTTAAAGTTCTGTCTACCGCTTCTACTCCTTTTCGATGGGCCATCGTACATTCATCCTATATGATTAAATTACACTTTGAACGAATATTTAAACACTACCAAAACAACTAATACGTGGTCCTAACTTTAGCTACCTTACACATAAAATCTAAGTGACTATTTGAACTAAAATATTCTTATAGAATTATAACCAGAAATATATACAACTCACAACAAAAAAGAAATGAAAATAAAGCTGAAACGCCTGTGCAATACTATCTACCTATACCTCCTTCACTTAAAAATAAATACTTATAACTACTTTAATTAATAAAAGTACCTACGCTTAATAATTTTTAATTTGAACGAATATTTAAACACTACCAAAACAACTAATACCTGTTTTACAAAATAACAACAAAAGAAATTCAAATAAACTATTTAAAGACTAAAAGTCGCGCTGATAAGCACGGTTTCGGTCTCCCAGGCGGGGGAGCAGATGAGAAATCCTCATGGATACCCTACAGCCGGCTGCAAGGTACTGACTAAAAAACACCCGTAGGGGCTGCCTCTGGCCGGGAAGGCCTCTAAGGCTTCATCGGAAGCGATCGTCCCCCAGAGGGGGAGCGACGCAGAAAACAGATTTAGACAGCTCGCTCTCGGAGCTTTGATACCCTACCGCTGCCGCGACCCGTGTCGAGCGCGGCAACCGTTACACAAAAATAATCCTTATAGCATGATTCAGTATTCACGTGCGACGGCGCGATGGCTTATTTCATGTATAAGTTTGGTGTTTCTATACCGAGTATTATAAACGTAAGGGTAAACAAATATGATCAGAATGCGCCGAACTGCTAAGCTATCGGGAGTTACACGTGTTATTGTGAGTCAACCATAAAAGATAGACATATGCTGTTGCGGGATATTTTTTAGACAATTTTATGTAGAATATTTCCGTCATACATGATTTCTATGTAACTTTAATCATTAAGGCTGCACACGCGACGGAAGCTTAAAAAATGGAGTAACTTCTCCCGTTTTCCCAACATTTCCCTTCACTACTCTGCTCCTACTGATTGTAGCGTGATGAAAAGTATACTATAACCTGCCCAGGAGTATGAAGAATAATTGTACCAAGTTTCGTTAAAATCCGTCGAGTAGTTTTTGTTTCTATAAGGAACAAACACACAGACAGACAGACAGACAGACAAAAAATTTACTGATTGCATTTTTGGCATCAGTATCGATCACTGATCACCCCCTGATAGTTATTTTAAAAATATATTTCATGTACAGAATTGACATCTCTACAGATTTATTATAAGTATATAGAATAGATTACATTACACATTGCGTAACTATTTTTTAAGAAACCAACCCTATTTGTCCTGAGATTTCAGGATTTTTGGACTCTTCTCAGGATTGCGGACTGGATTTAGCAAACCTCTTGAAATCTCAGGACTTTATGAATTTTCAATAAAAACCAGCTTTAAAGATCTGTTTAATAAAAACTTAAACAAACTTAAAATAATCTTCCTTTGATAATAATTGCACAGTTAAAATCAGTACTTATTTATCCAAGTAGGTTCTTGATCAGTTTTATCATACTTAATATGTGATGATACATTTTTAAGTAAGGTTTTTTCTTTAATTATGGATTCATATAATGCCCCACATGTTTAGCTCTTCAAATTATATTGAATTAAAAGTATGAGCAGTATGTATATAAACGATAATATTACGACTTTTCTAAATTGTTAAGTACGTTTGAGAGAAAATTCTCAAACTGTAAAAATCTCAAGATTTTTCAATGGAAATCAAGCCTTTTCTCCGGACTTTTGATTTTTTCATCTGGTAACCCTAGGCCGACTACTTGAGCCATTTTGCAATATTGCTGGCTTATAACCATAGAGGTATAAGAATAGAGTAGGGGAGATATGTACTCTACTACAAGTGGAAGTGTCCGTCTAGTAGAAAGAGAAAGAAGGTGAGAGAAGGCTAGCTATCTCTCTCTCTTGTGACGCTGCGCAGTCATGTGATTATTATATTAATTTTCCTTTTTTTACATTAGAATGTAATGGGTGTGACCCATTCTAATGTTTCTTGGGGTGTTTGGCACGAAATATATAATATATTAGTAGCTTTACTCTCTCTTAACTCTTTACCTTTAAATATTAAACGTGCACGGTCGAGGGACTCCTTTGCTATTAAAATTAAGGATTATTTTCTCAAGCTGGACTCTGACTGATCTTTTTATATGTTCATTACTTTGTATTGTATTTTATAGCTTCCATATACTTTCTATATTTTATTTTCCTATATTTACGTTTCTTTATTTATTTTTACAATGCACAGCCCGCTGTTTCTACTATTCTTATGGTATCG